TTTTTTATGTAAATATCAGCATGCGAGGTATCCACAGAAATATCCGAATCTCAGCTAAACGCTCATATAAACAATTTCTACAACCAACAAACAGCGAAAATAACAAAAAATGTGCCTAAAGACAAACAACAAAGCAGCAAACTTGCTCGACTTTATGTAACCAAGCAAGCGGCACATTGTCTCACAGATTCCAAAACTGCTAGTTTCGTCATGCTCCGATGAAAATTCACTGAACCGTCCGCAAAAGAAGACCACAAATATGCTTCTTGTTCTGTAAACAATAAAATGGAATAGACTTACCGTGCTGTTGCCGTTGTGGCTTCTGTCACAGCTGGTATAAGTTTTTTTGGTGTGGGGAGACGTTCACATGCGGATTTTAAAACAGTCTTAATTTGGCAGTGGATGACTTTTCAGCTGACGGAATCATTTTGTGATACTGCTACCTTTTGTTGCAATAGTTTTATGGCATGTTTTGTAAATTTCTGCATTTTATTTGACATCCTTGTGAAATCCAAACAACGACCAACGAGGCCATATTTTTCCCTAAACACGCATGCTCCGGGTAGAAAATGTTCCGGTTGGGAGGGGGGATTAATGATGCATTTGTAGTGTGTGGGAAAAAAATTGGTGTCAATTTAGTTGGTTGTGCACTTCTTGATTTTTGTAAACTGGAGCATGGTGGTGCTGCCACTGAACCTGGGTTGAAGACTTGAGTGTAAGATTGTTTTGGTTTTACTCCCACTTTAATAATATATCTGTTTCAAAGCTCACATATTACACAGTTGGGTATTTTGCAACAGTTTGAAAATATGAGACGTTGTGAAAAATAAAACTATGGGGAAAAAAACACTCTGCAATGCCTTCTTCCAGTTCTGATTTCTTTTTCTGCTATATGAGTGCTGAGGTGGTGGCATGCTTTGAATGGCAACACATATCGGTCTGGAGAATACTACAGTTACTACTTGCTACTTGCTCCTTAATGGCGAGCATAAATGAAAGTGACTGTGTGATGACATTGCAGCAGCACACGAAGTAGCCAATGCAAAAGCCATAATGGCACCTTTAGTCAGCTGATAACAGAAAGCCATAAGGAACAGGAAAGGGAAGTATCATGGACAACCAACCCCCCTGCATGGGATGTACCATAAACACATAGTGGGAGCGGATGACATTAATAAATCCTACCAGTGGCTAGAAAAGGCCAGTTTAAAGGACAGCACAGAAGCTCTGATAATGGCAACCTAAGAACAGCCTAAGCACCAGATCAGAAAAGGCAGGTGTCTACCACAGCTAACGGGCCCCAAGTTGCAGACTGTGGGAGAGTAGCCAACACATAGTAGCAAGATGCAAGCTGGGACCACATACACGGAGAGGCACAAGCAAGTGGCTGGGAAAGTATACAGGAACATATGTGCATCATATCAACTGCAAGTTCCCAAGTCCTTTTGGGAGGTATTCCCAAGGTAGGTTGAGATCAATGGTGCTAAGATCGTGTGGTTAAAAAGACGAAAAATGTTGTGTATCTAGCCCTAGCAACGAATTTATCGACTAAGCATTACTATATGAATAAAACACTTTGGTCCACACTTTTTGAGAATCTTTAACAGCTTTTAAAAGGGTAAACCCACAAATTCCAATCTGACAATTTAAATGTTGCTGCAGAAGTCAGGACATATCAGACAAGGCAACATTTTTTCAATGTTGTTCAATTTTTGTGTGAATTGTAACCTCTGCTAAGCTTTGTGTTTGTAGCCTTAGCAGATCACTGAGAAGGGCAGTCTGCTTTAGGGCTGGATCCTTTAAATTGATGTGTTGTGTGTTGTCCACTGTTGCCTCATAGCACAAATTCCTGAGTTCAACCAGATTACCATCTGGCCAGGGTCTTTCTTTGTGGGGTTCTGTGAGGATGTTCTCCCATGTCTCTGTGGCTACTATGGTTTCCTTCCACAGTCCAAACACATGCAATTACTGGGGTTGGGTTAATTGGTGATTCTAAATTGCCCATAGGTGTGAATATATCTGGGAATGATTGTCTGCCTTTCTGTGTTAGCCCTGTGACAGACTGACGAGTTGCCCTTTGGTAGCTGGGATAGGCTACAGCCCCACATGACCCTGAATTGGATAAGTGGATGAAGATGGATGGATAGAGGGCTAGACACTCCTAAACCTTGTGGAAAGCTGTCCTAGAAGAGTTTAAACTGTTATAAATTAAGCAGGTGGGTCACCATCATATGAACCCCTATGCATTAAGAACCAGATGTCACTGACGTTTATATGTGTGTGAAAGCAGATGAGTGAATACTTTTGGCAATATAGTGTATAAAGGCTCCTCTTAGTGCTTCATGATCACACATACCAACCTATTGCTTTCTCTCTTTTACTTTGTTTCTCTTACATTAGATACACACACACACACACACACACACACACACACACACACACACACACACACAC